AAACAAAAAAAAAAAAACAACTAACATTAAAAAGAAATAGGAGGAAGGCATGCTGCAGAAGTAAATTGAGTCCAATCCATATGAGCTATTTGAACTACTTTCACTTCTGACATGAGAGAAGCTTGAAAAACCCAAATGGTTCCTCGACTTCCAAAGCCACCAGAGGATGTACGTAGACAATTGGATTCTAGCCTCCGAGACTTTAGAATGATCAAGGGTGCAGATTTTGAACCACCACTCCTTAAAAGAATCAGTGCAATCAGAAAGCCCCTGCCAAGTAATAGGTGAAATGTTCCATACTCTTCTGGCCCTGTAGCAATTTAAAAGAACATGAGCAATGGTTTCAGAGTTCTCTCCACATATAGAACAAATGTGATCTATATCAATCTTTCTTTTTCTCAGCAGACAGTTCACAGGTAGTGTGTTTGATAAGCATTTCCAAAGAAAGTGCTTTAGTTTCCCTGCTACTTTCACTTTCCAAAATCTGTATTGGATTGTCTTGCATATAGATGAACCAGCACTGGTTTCTGGAATATCAAGTTGGGCAAGTTTCATCTTTGAAAGAATTTTATAGGTGCAGGCCACAAAATATTGACCTTTCCTATCCAAACGCCAGTAGATTCTGTCAGCTCTATCAGGATGTAGAGAGGAAATATTGAGAATGGCTTCACTATCAGAGTGATCAAATACCTGCCTCACTAGCCAGTCATTCCAAGACAATCCATTTGGATGCAATAAGTCCTTGACCCAGATTAGGTGGTCTCTAGCAATAGGAAGCATGGTTGGACATTGCTTTTGTAAATTAGGGACCCAATTAAAATCAGCTATCTTTGTTGATGCCCCATTTCTGATTTCTGTTCTCAACCATTTTGCAAAGAAGGGAATCTGCTCAGCCCAACTATTCCACATCCAAGACCCATTGGAGGTTTTAGTAGCATGAGTGATTGCTGATTGAGGGAAATATCTATCTTTCAAAACTCTGCTAACTAGCAAATCTGGTTGAGAAGCTATTGTCCACAGTTGCTTACATATAAGAGCTTGATTGAAGATTTGCAGATCAAGAAAACTCAGTCCTCCATCATTCTTGGGCAAAGCAAGCAAACTCCATTTTTTCCAATGTACTCCTCCTGATTGCTGGTCTCCATTTTGCCACCAAAACTTAGCACATAGTTGGGAAATTTCAACACAGAGAGTAAGGGGGATTTTGAAGCATGACATAGTAAAGATAGGTAAGGCTTGAATGATTGCCTTAAGCAAAACTTCTTTCCCAGCAGTGCTTAAAAGTTTGGATTTCCAGTTCTGTAATTTGCTCCTAACAGAAGTCAGCAAGTATCCAAATACTTCCTTTTTTGATTTTCCAATGCCAAGTGGCAATCCAAGGTATCTAGTAGATCTGTGAGAGACTATGCCATTCAAAGCTGAGCATATATGAGTTTGCAGAGATTGTGGAGTGTTTCTGCTGAAAAAAATTGATGATTTGCTCAAGTTGACAGCTTGCCCTGTAAATAGCCTGTACCTCTCAAGGAGTGTCATTAAAACATTAGCCTGATCTACATTTGCCTTACAGAAAAAGAGTGAATCATCTGCAAACAATAGGTGAGTGAGTAAGGGACCATTTCTAGAAAGCTTAAGCCCTTTGAGATGTCCAGAGTTCACTGCTTGCATAATCAGAGCTGTAAGAACTTCAGCCACCAGTAACCTCTAGCTGACTTGACAAAATCACTCACCTTGCCATTTAATTTGAAAGAGAATGAGGCAGTAGTGATGCAGATCATAATCCTCTTAACAAAGTCTCTGTGAAATCCCATCTGTAACATAACTTTTTGCACACACAGCCACTCAACCCTGTCAAAGGCCTTAATAAGGTCAAGTTTCAGTGCCATAAAGAAATTTGGACCAGTGGAGTGCCTGTTCAGATAATGAAAGGTTTCCTGGGCAACTATGACATTGTCAATGAGTTGTCTTCCTTCTAAGAAAGCAGATTGATGATCACTAATACAGTGAGGAAGACAAGCTTTCAATCTCTGAGCCAAAATCTTAGATATTACTTTGTAAACCACAGTACAGAGACTTAGAGGTCTAAATTGACTCAGGGTTTCCGGATTGGAACATTTAGGGATCAAGGAGAGAATAGTATGGTTCCAATATTTGAGGATCATACCTGATTGAAAGAAGCTCATGATTGCTGCCAAAAAATCCTTCTTAATTATTTCCCAAAAGTGCTGATAAAAGAAAGAGTTCATTCCTTCCTCACCGGGTGCCTTATCAGAGGGCATTTGGAATAAAGCTAATTTGACTTCCTCTTCAGAGACTGGTTTTAACAAGGCATCATTCATATCTGAAGTTATTGACTGAGGTATCAAGTGGAGAATGGAGTCTCCTCCCCAGCCTTCTGAAGAAATTAAAGTAGTATAGAACTCTTCTATGTGCTTCTCCATTTCCCTTTGTGTAGCCACTATTCTGCCATTTGAGGATATCAACCTTGTGATAGCATTTTGCTTCCTTCTTTGAAGAGTGAAAGCGTGGAAGAATTTAGTATTTGCATCCCCTTCTTTGAGCCATCTCTGTCTGGATTTCTGCTGCCAATAAAGCTCCTCTTGAATGTGGGCTTTGTTTAATGATCTCTTTGTATTAAGCCAGCTGTTCCAGTTATTGCCAAATTTATCTTCATTCAAAATTTCCAACTGCTGTGTCAAATCAGCAATGAGAGCTTGATTATGAGATTTAAAGGAGGAGCTCCATTTCAAAAGAGCTATTCTGGTGAGCTTAATCTTCTCTTTGAGTCTAAAGAAAGGAGTTCCTGTGACATGAGAATTCCAAGCTTGTTGAACTATGTCCCTGCACCCTTCC